AGGGGAACTCTGGAAAGGAAAGAGGGGTTGGTAAAGGAGCGTTCAGCTCTTAAGTCCTGCAAAGTTTGCAGAGTAACAAGCCTCTTCAATCATATTTATTAACTCAGCAACTTAGAGGTTTTGCTCTGTTAAGTAGCTAAGCTATCCATGGAAGATACTCACTTTGTGCAGCACTCAAATCATACACTCTGACTCTGTACCTTGTATGGTTCCTCCTTTGCCAGTCTAGCCCAGGATCTGAAAAGGCCATTCATGGCTCAGCCTACCAGGCCCCATGTCACTGGTCACAGACTACTCAGGCAATGGAAGAAGCTACACTGTACCAAGACAGCAGCTGTGGCCAACAGTAGCAGTCAAAGTGGAAATAAAATGTCTCTTTCCCATGTCACAGAATGGAAGAAGGGAGGTACAACCCAACACAATTACTTGTGCTGACAATGAAGTTCTAGAAATTCATCTGATGGCAATATTTCTCACCACACAAGGGGCTCATACATCCACCTTTTAGTGAATAAAGTACTGAAGGGCAAATTGCCAGAAAGATGGGCAGTGCATGTGACTATCTTCCCTGTCATTAGCATGCTTACTGTGTGGCTGCATATCCCAGTCCTCAGAAAGGAGTGAACACCTTCCCTTAATTTTCCTTCTACCTACAGGTTTGCTAAATGATATAGTGATCTCAGGAACAAGCAAAGATAGCAGTCCTGTTCTCATAAGAGCTGGTCATTTTTGTACCGGGCTTACCACAGTCTCTAACAATTATGTAACTTCCTCATTGCAATTTTTTTTTTGGGGACACCTGGGCTTGGAGGATGGCTTTGTATTCATAAAAAAGGGTGGCACCTGTTAACTTACATTGTGTAAACTGCTTTCAGGAAGTAAGGTAAATTCCTTAAAAACTTGCATTACAACAAAAAGAGTGCTATTACTCTTCAAATGTAAATATGATACTACTATTTTTAGAATATTAGGGGTGGGTTGGAACTGAGCCATTCACATATTTTTATTCTTTATTTTTCCTTGTACCAAATATTTATTAAATAACTGCTATTTTGCAAGAAAGTACCAGGACCTGTAGGTATAAACATAAATAAAACATTTCCTTTCATTCATAGGTTTCTTTTATAAATTGTTGAGGGAATATTAAAAATTCAGTGTGTTCACCAAATCTGGTTTTAACCCTACCTCTGACCAAGGTAACAAATAGTTACTGGCATCAAATTAATGGCCATGGCTTTATTCCTACTAACTTTAGAATGGTCAATAGCAGAAAGAATAATTCTCAGCCCTAAACTCCCTCTATGTTAATAACAGAGAAAATAGCTCATTAAATATTTTTAAATATTCAGCTGAAGAGTATCGCAGGCAACCTTCATCATCCATGAGTCAGAAGGCAGCCCACACTGACCTCTTGTCATATAAGTATCATTCATTTTCCCACGTAATATTAAGACTGATTTTCATAGTCTCTGAATAAAACTGGTGTGAAAAATGGATAAAATGAATTATTTCTTGAAATTCTCTGTTTCTTAGTTTTAACAGAGCTGTAAATCTTAGTATTTCACCAACCTAGCTCAGAAATATCCTTTAAGTAAAATAAAAGCTAGTAGAGTTATTCATTCAATTTTTAAAAGGCTGCTTTATACCAAACCAATGCAGTGTGCAAATATAGAACTTAATTAAAATACTATATATAAAATATTAACAGCTGCAGTTATTAACATTGCATTAAATTCCCTTGAGCTAGGCCAACATAAAATGAGCTCTCTTTTCTTTCAATTTAGTAAAGGGCAGAACTTGGTGTAGTGAATGAGCTTTGGTTTTTACACTGTTTGTCTCAATTCACTAATCTGAAATTGTAATCACATAAAAGTACTTTACTAGCTGCACATCACTGAACATACTAACTCAATCTTTCCTTTGGATTCCAACAAAAATCTCTCCTCTTATTTTCTTTCTTAATGTAAATTATACTGTCTTAAGGCATCCCTCTCATCTTTCCATCCAGCACTGAACTTTCTAAATTAACACAGATATTCTCTGCTTTTGACCTTTTTCCAATGAGGGCACAAAAAGGTCAGTTAATAAACTATTGGCAATTTGGAAGAATTAAAGAACTTAAAGAGAAAAAAAGTGGATTTTATTTGGCTTGGGGATTAAGGCATTTAGCCAATTCTTATTGTAATAGGTCATCCAAGGAACTTGGGAAACTAATTAGACCACATCAACACTTAAGACTAGAATAAATTACCATTATCAATGAATAATGGCTGGTTTTGTTTTCCTTTGTACATTGTTTGCATTTATTAAAATTTTGACATTAACCATGTATTTCTTCATATCGTTAGAGGTGAATGAAATACAACTGATCTGAAGTATCGTAATTTTTGCCCCTCTGAACTTCCAAAAGATTTCCACTTAGTGCAGCTGCTGGGTGGCTCAGTTGGTTAGGTGTCTGCCTTCAGCTCAGGTCATGATCCTGGAGTCCCGGGATCGAGTCCCGCATCGGGCTCCCTGCTCGGCGGGGAGTCCGCTTCTCCCTCTCCATCTCCCTCTGTTCCTCCCTCCGTTCATGCTCTTGCACTCTCTCTCTCAAATAAATAAAAATCTTTAAAAAAAAAGATGTCCACCTAATCTAATCAGTTATGTTTTAAATTATTATGAAGTCTGGAATGCCTGGGTGGCTCAGTCAGTTAAGCATCTGACTCTTGATTTGACTCAGGTCATGATCTCAGGGTCGTGAGATCGAGCCTCACATCGGGTTCAGTGTGGAATCTGCTTGAGATTTTCTCCCTTTGCCCCTCCCCTGGATTGCGCTTGCAATCTCTATGTCTCTCAATAGATAAACAAATACAAATAAATTATAATGAAGTCTAACATGTACATACACACACTTGAGAGTAATTTAAAAATTTTATTCTAGGTGTATTTTAAGTTAAACTGTATCATCCAGAAGTTAATACTTCAAAGCACAAGATTAGTCCATGCTCCATTCCTCTTTTTTAAGACTTCTGTTTGAAAGTTCCTAAGTAGCCAATCAACTCTGCTAACTCTGGTAGAAACAGGCTGGAGGAAGTGAAAGGGAGGTACTCTCTTGCTATATTTCTGTATTCCCCTCAATGTACACTTCTCAGCTTAAATCAGAAAAACAAACAAAGAGGAATCCAATTTCTAATGGAATCAGTATAATGCAGCAGGAAAAAAAAATTGTTGTCTACCATCAGTCACCTAAGATAAAAGAACTGATAAAAGAAGTATGGATAGCACAGAGTGGTAACTAATCTTACCTGTGGAAGATTTCAGGGAAACGAAAGAACAGAGGGAGACTAAGTTTCCAGAGGGGGATGAATCAGAAATCGTCTCCGAGATATCTGAGCATCAGAGCAATGGGTTCTGACCTTCCTTCAATTTTCCACCCTCACCTCCGGCTCCCTCCCAATTCCCATTCATTCCATGTCTTTATTTTATTGGGCAAAAAGAGAGAAAAAATATTTGTAGGATGGCAATCACAATCTTTTTGATTGATGAGCAGGTAAACAAGGCATGACTAAGAGTGAAATAGGACACAGTTCTGTTGAAGGAACCTGGGAGGACACAAGTGACAAGGGGGTCTATGAAAGAAGCGCTCACCCCAGGACTGCAGCACGGCCCTCCTAAAATAGGATGGTGATCACAGATGACTGGATTTGAAAGAAGCACTAAGTGTTCTCTGGTCTGTGCTGATCACTGGCTGGAAAGTTTTGCAAAAATATAGAATCCTAGATCCCATCACTGTTGATACCCCTTCATCAGGTCTGGGAGCCAGTCAATACTGGATCCTTCCCAGTATGTTTCACGAAGGAAGAAATTCAGACCCACAAAAAATGCCTTGGGCAAGCTTACAGCGCTTTTTAGTGGAAAATCCAGAGTGCATGGTATGGTATATAAGTAAATAAGGGAGTGCAGGGAGGGAAGGGAGGAAAGCAGTTAGATCTAAATTCAGTTGTCTTCTATTATAAGAAGCTAATTTGATTTGTAAGTGAGAGGAACAATCAGCATGGGAGCACAAGGTGAAGAAAGTAAAAAAGACATAATATATAGTTAATATACCTAAAATAAGTTGCTTCTCTCTCTCCCTCTCTCTCTCTCCCCCTCTTTCTCTACTTCTCTCTGTCTCTCTCTCACTTTCTGGGTTTCCGCAAATGCTATTCCCTCTGTCTGGATGATCCTTGTCCCCACAAACCTAATGCTAGTCAATTCCCTAAGCCCCCTAATCCAATTTCAAATTTCAAAGTAAGTAAATATATTATTTCTTCAGACCTTCTCTACAATGCCCCTACCTTTCCCCAATCACACACATGCACACACATACACAACACAGGCACACACACACACACATCTCTAGGAAAAAAAGCATAGCAAAAGGAATCCAGAGGAAATTAAATTAATTCCAAACGTCTTTCATTAGAAAGGGAAGCTACTTGGAAGTCAACAGAGTTTTGCCCGTGTTCTTGAAATCCTACTGCGTTGATTAAAGTGTTTATGATACCACAGATCCAACTTGGATAAAAATTAAACTAAGGATTAAAAATTAAACTAAGGATTTTCTATGTGGATTGTTGAATTTTCTTTTTTCATATTTTATATTTGCCATTCCAGGCACCTCCAAACATCCAATGATATAAGCAATAATTGGGAATACAAGAACCCTGAATTTTGTCACTTGCAAATTCAAGATAAAATTTCGTGCAAGATTTGGCACTTGATTATCCAATAAATCTTCATTTAAGAAGTGATTCCAGAAGACATTTGAGCATTTGGGGTTTGATGCCCAACTATAATGATTAATTAGCTCCTTCTGATTTGTATATGATGTGAAACAGAAATAATAACAGACAATTTCCTTTACCCTAAAGACAGAAATGCAGAAAATCTTTAATATGTCTTGGTTTTAATTCCCTTGGTGAGTGGGGAAAGGAGTGTTCCAGCAGGTAAAGAGTATAGAAAAAATGATAAATTACCTGACCGTCCATCTCTCTGGAAGTCCACATGATACCATTCTCCATCATTCACCTTCTTCTGTAGGGCTTTGATTTTTATTGTACCTGACCCCATGTCCAGGAGGAGGTAGAGATGGCCATCTAGCATCTCAATAGCAAAGAAGTCAACCTTTATCATCTGAGGGTGCTTGGCATCTTTTTGGTGTCTTGGCTTGCCATGGCTAAATAAAATGAGGCCATTTGGCTCTGTTGTGCGGAAATCAAATGATATGGAGCCTGTTTTCTTTGCATTCCATTTAGGCAAAGAGATGAAAGACTCTGGGGTTTCAAAGGTGATGGGGTCCAAAGTTGCAACATTCTCACATTTAAATGCCACCACTCCATGGATCTTCATCTTAGGGTCTCCTTGCTTGGCAAGTCGAGATAATTCCAGCCTTACATCATTATTTTTATATACAACCTGTGAGCAGAGGATAGAGTGAGAAACCAGGCCCATAGTTTAATATTTAGAACTTGTCTTCAGTTCATGTAACTTGCAACACATGTAACACAATTTTTAGTGCATTTTGATAAATAAGATAGCTTTTTCAGCCAAATAAAATTCAAGTATCAACTCATTAAATAGTAACCATTCCAATCTAATTTCACTCAAATACTGTGTGTATACACACACCCACACCGGTTGTAGATGACTCAAATAATTTGAGTGAATCTGCATACAGTTTTCATTATTTCAAGCGTGTATAGACTCAAACTTATATTTGCTTTTGTTGTTGGCTATTATACTTTATTAAATATAAAGGTTTTTTAGTTTTCCCACTACTAAAGTATTTGAAATTAGATATTTTGAGTAACAGTTTCTTAAAATATAGGATCTCGTCTATGGTCTATATAGCCACAATGGGTATAAACTTTGTAAGATAATCACAAGTTGAGGTAGAAAACATCCTGAATTTTCTCAGAAAAGTCATAAAATACAACTAAAATTGCAGAAGCTCTCTTTCCCCCCTTGGCCTACATTAACAACTGTTTGAATAATGTTGGGTAACTTTGGAACATTGTTGGCTCTAAATCCATTCAACTTGTATTACTTGTGTTCCATTTTACTTTCAAGTATACAAATGAGGAACAAAATTTGTCCTGTTCTCTCATTTCCCAAGGCACTTCATCCGAATTGGCTTGTGGTTCTGAATGCTTGTTGATAGTCCGATGGCTTTTTGGACTCTGAACGGCACATTGGACAAATCCACCGGCAGAGCTCCCAATATCGTGCATCTGCTATCACATCACCTTAATAAACTTGAAGCCATTCTGACATAAAGATAAGAAGAGATCCATATCCTGCCTCTATAAAATGCATACCATGCATAATTACATTTCAAAAATACATATGTCATATTGACTTAAGAATAAATTAGCTATCTGTGTCCAGAGAACTATCTAAAATATTTTAAGAAGCCATTCAAAAGTTCATAGCAGCCAACACTGACAGGTTCTAAATTCATTTATATTCATATAATAGGAAAAAAAAAGACAGCCTGTGTCTGATTAGTGCTATAAAGTTAACTGGTCAATACAGCAGTTTATTTCCTCCAAACCTATGGCAAAACCTAACTAAGCCAAGAGTTAGTGTGGCTCATGAATTTCCTGATATGATTTTTTAATGGATACTTTATTTTTCAGTGATTAAGAGTGTAGGCTCTGATTATCAGACTCTTTGAGTTCAAAATCCAGTGCTAGCATTACCTAACTGCATGATCTCTCCAAGCCTTATTTTTTTTTTTTTTCCTTTTTAGGGAGATAATACCCTACAGGATGGTTGTAATTATTAAAGAAGAAAATGAATGTAAGTTAGAGAATCTACATAAAGGCAATCAATCCAATGCCAGGCATATTGTGAGATTTTCAATAAATATCAACTACATCAAACTACATGATAATAAATACCATCTCTTCATTATCATCTAGTAAACACAGAAATAATGTAAATTAATTCATTTTAAGGAAATGCTTAGAAATTAAGCACACACATATAATTAGTATTTTATACCTGATTTGTGCCAAGCAAAGAAGTCACATCTTTCCACTCCTAGTCCTGGTGTTTCAGTTTACATTTATCTTGAAGGAGGATTATTATAAAGAATGCCATATCCATTATTCTTTGAGCAAATATGTATAATGGTTTAATAAGCAAATACTGACAACAAAAGAAAATGAACTTAAGCAATAACAAAAGGGAATTAGATTAATTCTTAAGTATACTTTATTGAAGAGAGAAAGAGCTATTAAGCCTTGGGAAAGTTGATTTAGGATTGTCTTTCTTTGGGGATCTTTAGAAGTGGAGAAAATGGTTTCCATGGATGAGTTTCCAAGTTTTTTAACTTCTCACCATGACTTTCAAGCTACCCAAGCCTATATTTTTTTCCCACTTTTCTTGGCAATTTATATTTTATTATTTGGAGATTCCCTTGACAAAGATATTGATCAGGAATGAGTAGTATTTTCTGACCCAGTTGATGCAGTTGATAACATTGACTATGCTAACACATTGCCCGTGAAATAGAACCACCACAACAGAGTCAGGTGTTTCTGACATGAGTAAGTAGGTATAAGGCTGGGTATATTGCCTCATGAGTCTGATACCAGCTACAGAAAAGTTGAGGGATGTGGGGTTAGGGCAATTCTAGGTAAGGATTTCAGTGAGTGATTTATAATCTCATGAGTGAGTTGGATGCCCTGGAAAAAAGGAGGGCAAGAAGATGGAGAAGAAAAGTAGGGATTCCTTTGATCAGATAACTTAGGGTTAGCCATGCACACACACACACTGCCTCCACACCCAACCCCCCGCCCCCCCCAAGAAAAGAATCTCCACCAGAATCTATGCTTTGTGTAGACAGGGTTCTTGCTCACTGTAGTCAAGCATCAAGATCAGTGTCTGGCACAAAGCAGACACTCAGTAAATATTTGCTGAGAATTGAATAAAATTCTTTATTCACTTTTTTTTAACCTAGTCCCAGATTATAGACTATTATTAACAATATTTACAAATGTAGTTATGTAAAGCAGAATGTGGTACTGCAGTCTAATCTCACAAACTGGCTACTATGTTTGGTCTATTGCTTTTTTTTTAAATTTTTTATTTTTATGTTAATCACCATACATTACATCATTAGTTTTTGATATAGTGTTCCACGATTCATTGTTTGTGCATAACACCCAGTGCTCCACGCAGAATGTGCCTATTTTTATGTTAATCACCATACATTACATCATTAGTTTTTGATATAGTGTTCCACGATTCATTGTTTGTGCATAACACCCAGTGCTCCTTGCAGAGTGTGCCCTTTTTAATACCCATCACCGGGCTAACCCATCCTCCCACTGCCCTCCCCTCTAGAACCCTCAGTTTGTTTTTCAGAGTCCATCGTCTCTCATGGTTCGTGTTTGGTCTACTTCTTTAGAATAATGTGGAAACTGCTGTGCATGTTCAGTTATAAACAGCAAGCTGGCCTGTGTATTGGAAAACTTTACATTCAAACTCATATTGTGGGGTTTAAATTACTTTTGGAATGAAAAACATCTGAGTTAAAATTATCCAGAGGTAGAATCATTTTCCTAGAAGAACTATCTTGAGGAGAAGCATGATGTACTTTTTTTTTCCTTCTCATTTTGTATTCTTTGAAAGGTAACTCAAGAAGACAGAAAAGCAATTTTGGATAGGCAGGCTGATAGCTTTCACAACTACACTACTACTGCATCTGACCCAGATTTCCTAATCACCCTACTTTTCCAAAGTTAGATGTACTCTTCAAATGACCCGAAAAGAGTTCAATTATAATAATAAGTAGACAGCAAGCACTCCAAATCTTTTAAAAATTCACATGTAAGCTATTTTTTTGCTTCTTTCTGAGATAATATGGTTCTGAATCATTTATAATTATTCGTATATCTTTTTTCATATATATTTTATTTATGTCAAAAGTTGTAATTTATTTAATAGTTTCAACTTGCAAAAAGTATCTATATACTCTATCATCTTAACAATTAGTGATGATATTATTGCACACTCATTTGGGTCTGTTCATAAAATCAAGATTTCTTTGGGGATATTGACCTTTCCTTTTGTTTTTTTGAAGAGTAATTCACAATGCTGTATTTCACTTCTCTGCTTCATGGGCTTATATCATAAATCCCAAAGGGATAAAAACATGAAAGAGACTAGGTTTTTTTTTTTGGTCATCTATAGGATTTTTTAAATGTCCCTCATACTTAAATATGCAAGAACAGGAGCAATATGTCTGTATTTTTATATTCCTAGGCTTGATATATGAGGTAGACAGTCACTGAGTATTCTATTTGATCTTCAAATTAATCCTAAAAAGGCAAGGGAAATAAATAGGTTAAAAAAATAAGTTTGAGAGTCTGGGTATAGACAGTTTAATCACAAAGCTCTTATCTAAGTCAACTTGCCTAACCTATCTCTCAGTTTCTTAATTTCTAAAATATATATATTATCTAAATAGATATATATATTATCTAAATAGATATATATCTAAAAAGGAAAAGCATGTCATATCTAACAATCCTTGAGCTTTCTTCCCCTTAATCTATGTGATTTGGGACCAAGGTAAAAGAAGTTCTATTGTTCCTTCTCTATGTCTGGCTTTTTCCAGTTGTGGTTTTGATGTCAGGATATTGTTCATTATTCTGAGATATAGTGAAACACTAATCCGTTAGGTAAAGAGAATGTTCACTACATCTTTAGGTACACAGACATACATCAAGGATTATATCTACGGTTTGTACAGACGGTATTGAAGAACTGGTGGCTGAGAGATGAGGCCCTTTCCACAGGAAGTGGGAGTGTGTGAAATATGTGCATCAGGAGAAAGCATTTGCTACTCAAATAATGACTTTTTTGTTGTTATAAATAAATGTTTCAGCTTAGAAATTTCCATGAGGCTCTTGAATTCATTAACATGCATTGATCAAGGCTTTTCATATCTTAACTACAAGAGTATACAGGGTGATGGGATGCGCACTGCATGTAAAGTCAAGGAGTGTTGCAGGGATCTAGACTCAGTGGTGACCCCCCTGAGAACATGAATGGCTTATTCTAATCTGAGTCTTGGCTCTTTTCCATTCTTGGGAATAACAGTAAGTAAGGGCTAAGAATCTGGTTCTCAAGATTTCAAAGAGAATTGCAGCTCACCCACTTGCAATCCTGTGACCTTGTGCAAGTCCTTCAACCTCACAGAGGCTTACTTTTATCTGTAAAATGGAGTAATCATATCTACCACATTAGGGGGATTGTCAATAATAAATTACATTTCAATGAAAGTGCTAACAACAGGGTCTGGCACGGAGGAAGGGCCCAGGTGAATATCAGCTGCTCTTGTTAGTGTTGTTATCATAAATAACAGAATTATTACTCTGGGAGGGAATGAATGTAGTTGTAAA